CATTGGTCCATGGCTGCTGAATTGCAGGGTGTGGCCAAAGCGTGTTGAGAATGTGGATAAGGTTGCAAAACTTTATTCAATTTAATACTTGTTATATGGGTAAAAATATGTCGTCTTATTTTATTTTATTTTTTATAAATAATTACATCTTTAAAAATATAATTGAATAATAAATAGTAGCCGCCAAATTTATATTTGTGACTTTTACATTTTTTTAATTTTGATATCATATTGAAATGTATAATCATCATATTTTACTACAAACTTTTAGAGGTAATATTTTTTTATTTATATAATTATATCGTCAATGAGAATTACTAAATGAAGAATCATATTATGTAGGTTATTGTATTTTTTGAAACATATATTAATTAAAATCCTAAATGAAATTACAAACAAAAATTATCAACTAAATCTAATACTAAATTTTCTAGTAGGTTAATAATGAAACCTTAATTTTCGAAGCACACTTAGTTAATGTGCCTTTTCCACGACATGATATAATTTCGGACCTGTAAATCTCTATAGTTTGTTGAATTCAAAATCGGTTGTTAGGATTTGAAGTTTTATTTCCAGACAATTTCATCAATACTTCCTAGCTAAAAATGATTGGTGGAACTAGCACTGATTTCTAATTTCATCGTTAACTTTATGATATTCTTTTCTTTAAATCTTTTAAAATTGCAAGTAGCACAAGATATTTACACCTTTTTGAAATAAATACATTAGGTTATAAATTAAGTGTTGTGGGGCAAGGCGGCTAGAGAAAAGAGACATTAGAATCAACGAATCATACAGCTAATAAGTTTAAAAGAATATAATACTCTTATTTGTCATATTTATTTTTATCTATTTTTAAAAATATTTTATTTCATTTTTTAGTTATAATTTTTCATGCGATAGATTTAAGATAATAAAATTAAAGAATATTTGAGTATATTTTAATATCTTTAATTTTAATTTTAATTTTTTTTAAAAAAATTAAAATATTTTTATATCAAGTCAAATATGATAAATAAATTAAAGCGGAGGAAGTAATAATGAGTTAGCCACTATGAAAAAATCTCTCATCCACCACAGGCCCCTTACAATGAATGAAGATACACTAGCTGCGTTCTTTATTATTATTTTCATCTAAGTTTACGACTTAATTAATTTATTCGTGTCTTAAACTCTTATTCTGAATATAAAATATTTTCTACTAAAGGTAAAAAAATTTTGGTAGAATACTAAAGGTAATTTAACTCTGATAATTTAAATTTGATATCTTTAATTAAAGATATATAGGTATTTGCCTCATTTTATTTTTTTTATATTTTATTCCAAGTTTCATATTCGCTTAGAGATTAATAAATTTAGATATGTGTTGGAGAGTCACTTAATTTTGGGATAAATTTGTTTTATCAAAGTCAATTTTAATTTCAAGATTTAAATTTAAAATCTATGATAAACTAAAGAGATATTTACTATGATCTATCATAACTTTAGATGATTTCATTTATATTCACCAAAGATTTGCCAAGATATGTACTGTAATCCTATTGGCCCCATCTTGAGTATCAATGTGATTTACTCTTAAATTCTGGAAATAATGTTGTGATGTTATGATTCTTATTATGTTTGATTATGAATGCCTTATTTTAGAGTGGTGTATCATGTATGGTATGTTGTATTTTTTTTTTTTTGTTTTAATACATAACATGCCCTCTAGATTGATTGCATCCAAACATTTCAATTATGATTTTTTTTTTCAAGATTTTGCATTCTCTTGTTCATGATTGTCTTCAAGTAAGTTTTGCATTTGATATCCACTTTGAACAAGAGAGTATTTAATTTGTTAGAAGATGAATGTGTTTGATGTCATGAAAGATAAATAAGCTATTCGATGATTTCTTTTCTAGTGTTCAAGTTATGGTAGATAGTGTTATTGGGAGATGTCGGGTAACTTATGAAATTAATGAAGGTGTGCACAAGTTGATCTCGACACTAGAGTTATAAAAAACAACCATAAATGACATACTTGGAGGATCTTAATTCCTAATCTTAGGTCTTGAAAAACTCTTCCGATTCTTAATGAAAAACTAGGATTTTGGTGACAATACGTAGTCTCACTATGATCCACTCCATTTTTTAGTATTTATGGGCCCCTCAACAAAAAAATAGGCGATTTTCTCAATTTTTCGTACGTGTTATTCAATAAAATTTTTGGTGATACTGTTTTCGGATGCCTTTTTTTCTTCAAAACATTTATAAGACCCTCTATAATGACTTGAGAGCAATACATATAGCCACATCATGACCCACACATTTTTTTTAGCATTTAGGGCTACTTAATAAGAATTAGACAATTTTTTTCAAAAAAATTTGTGTGTGTTAGTCAATGACTTTTTTGCTGATATTTTTTTCCTCAAAACCTTTACAAGACCCTCCATAATGACCTAGAAGAACAATACATATAGCCTCACTATGATCCAAGTCATTTTTAGCATTTAGGGGGCACTCAACAAGAATTAGGCGATTTTCTTAATTTTTCGTGTGTTAGTAGATGAATTTTTTGGTGAAATCAATTTTGAGAACTTTTTTGCAAAAATTTTACAAGACCCTTTGTAATGACCTAGGGGTACAATACCAAAAGCCTTACCATGATTCACACAACCTTTTTTTAGCATTTAGGGGCCATTGAATAGAAATTATGCGATTTTTCTAATTTTTTTATGTGTAACGTACATGATCTTTTTGGTAACATTTTTTACAAAAACGTTACAAGATCCCCCATAATGATATGAGATTAAAAAAAAACATATAGCTTCACCGTGATTCACGCGTCATTTTTATAATTTAGAGACATCTCAACATGAATTAGATGATTTTCTCAATTTTTTGTGTGTACTAGTACATGAAGTTTTTTGGTGATACTGATTTCGTCCAAGTTTTTTTTCAAAAACTTTACAAGACCCTTCATAATGAACTTAGGAACAATACATATAGCTCACCATGATTGACATGGCCACTCAATAGAAATTAGTTGATTTCCTCAATTTTTCGTGTTTGTGTTAGTACATGAATTTTTTGGTGATATGGACTTTGGGGACTTTTTTTGCAAAAACTCTATAGGATCCTCCATAATGATCTGGAGGAACAAAACCTATAGCCTAACCCTCATTTACGCTACTTTTTTAGTATTTAGGAGTCACTCAACAAGAATTAAGTGATTTTTCAATTTTTTGTGTGTAAGTTAATGAGATTTTAGAGATATGATTTTCACTACTTTTTTTTTTCAAAACCTTTATAAAACCCTCCGAAATGATCTAGGAGAACAATATGTATAGCCTCACCATGATCCACACCATTTTTTAAAATTTAGGGGCCATTCAACTTGAATTAGGCAATTTTTTAAGTTCTCGTGTGTAACGTTAATGATTTTCTTGGTGATATGATTTTCAGGCACTTTTTTGTAAACCCTTAATAAGACCTTCCATAATGACCTCGCGAAACAATATGTATAGCCTCATCATGATGCACACTATTTGTTTTAGCATTTATGTGTCACTCAACATGAATTAGCCGGTTTTCTTAATTTTCTATGTGTGTTAGTCAATAAATTTTTTTATAATATGATTTTAAGATACTTTTTTCAAAATCTACAGGACCCTCAACAATGACCTAGGTGAAAAATACCTCACCACGATCCACACTTCTTCTTTTTTAACATTTAGGCACCATTCAACATGAATTAGGCGATTACTCAGTTTTTTATGTATGTTAGTCAATGAATTTTTTGGAGATATAATTTTTGAGGACTTTTTTTCCCAAATAAGTAAAACAATACCTTTGAATCTTGTTTTTTAAAATTAAAGATATGTTACATATATCAAAACACCCTTTAATCTTGTGTTATTAAATATGACATGTGAAAAATTGAAATCAAAGACTTGTCGAAAAGTGAAGAGACATTTTTTTTAAAAACCAAGATAAATAAAGGTTAACTTACATATATCTTACTAATTTAGAAGTTAATTATTTATATACACGTTAGCTTGCAATATTGTGAACCTTACCATATTTTGGTGCATCTATATGCATATGGATACATGTATCTCAGAATACATGATGTCAAAATTAGGTGTAATTTATTTATAATAAACTGTATCCAAGTGGATTCGCATGCATCTGAAACACATATACAAATTTCACTCGCCTCCCTCTAATCTCGTTCACCACTCTCTCATCTCGCTTGTGTATTTGGTATCCCAAATACATGTGAATCATACCAGATATATGTATCAAGTATGTATTTAGTGTGATTTACATGTGTTTCGGATACATAGACAATTCACTCGTGTCCCTCATGTTCTCTCTTGCCTCTTTCCCTATTATAGTGTATCTGAATTAAAATATGATATGAAATTATTAATTAATGAGATAAAATATAATTATTTCAATCTATAGAAGAAGAAAAAATTAGTGAGATTTTTTTTTCCTTTTTTAAATTTATGTTTCTTTCCTAGCAAGAGTCAAAAATTCACATAAGTCAACACCAAAATGTTTTTTTAGTCTTGTTTAGTATATACACCCCATAGAAATGGTGTTTTGGTCCTTTCCACCGACCTCTAAGCAACTCAAATTCACTCTCTCCGGCGTCGTCGCCGGCGTTACTCTCATCGCCGCCGGTGCATATCTTTCCTTTTCCAACATTGCCCCTCAACAAGCTCGAGCTAAGGCCCGAAAAGATTACATCAAAGCCCGACTCAAACAGCTTGTACAAGATTAAAATCAACTTCAGTGTTTACTACTTCTAGAGAATTTTCGACCCATTTAAGCTTTTGGGTGTTTAGGAAAAACTGTTTTCTGGGTAAGAATTTCATTTTCGGAGTGAATATTATGCTTGTGTGAGCAAATTAGAGTTTTTTTTTGTTGATTTTTGGGTAAATATGTGTTCCAGTAGTACTAATTTGAGGGATTTTTTTGACCTGTTTGGTTTTTTAGGTGTTAGGTAGAAACTGTTTTCTGGGTAAGAATTTCATTTGGGTGTGAATTTATGCTTGAGTTTGATTTAGTGTGTGCAAATTTGAGCTTTTTGTCAGATATTTGGTAATTATTTGTTAGTGATTTAGTACTCTTTGAGGGAATATTCAATCCATTTGGTTTTTTGGATGTTCAGAAAAATCTGTTTTTTTTTGGGTAAAAATTTCATCTGTGAGTGTATTTTTGCTATGTTGCTCGAACTCTTCAAAAATGCCACGGGTGCGTGTCGGATGCTCCAAAAATAGTGCATTTTTGGAGTAGCCGACATGGGCGAGGCTTCATTTTTTGGAGAGTTCGAGCAACATAGAGTTTATGTTTGTGTGTGATTCAGTGTGAGCAAGTTTGAGCTTTTTGTCAAAAATTTTAGTAAATATTTTTTCTTGCCCTTTGTTTTCTTCTCTTGTTCTATCCTCTTTGTTATAAAAGCTATAAAAGCTCTAAATTTTGCAGAATGCTAATTTGATTTTTTGAGTGGGGAATTAGATTATGTGAATCATTGGAATGTGTGGTATGTTAGTAATTACTGGAAATTGTTGCAAAGGGTAGTAAAGCTTATTGTTACATTGTCTATATTAATGTGGGGAGTACAATGGAGAAAAATAAATTAGTAAAACTAAGGAAAGAACAAAAAGTTAAAAAAAGAGTGAGGTGCTTCAATGATTTGCTGAACTATTATTGGGGAAGAAAAATAATCAAGGAGGAGGGGTGAGAGAGAATGTTCGTTTGCTGTTAGTTGAGGAGGAAATGGAAGTTAGCCACTCATTCATGAAATGGATTAAGATGTCCTAATTAGAATATGCTGTGGAATGTTGTTACCTTCGGTATAGCCATCACCTCATCGCCTTTTTTGCAACTCTTGGAAAGCCAGATGGATTTATCCATTTTCTTTACCTGACTAGTAACTTTTATGTGTATTAAGCTTAGAGCTTCTTGAGTAACTCGGACATCTTCCCATCTATCAGCAAACAGTGCTTGGTGGCAATATGTTAAGTTTACTAATTTGGTGCTTAGTATCTACTAGATCAAGCACAAGAACAAAGGAGTTATAAGTATCTTGATAAGATAACCGTGACATTATGTGTTTTCCGCACAATTCACAACTTGATTTGCTCTTTTATAAAAATGAGCCGACTTAGATCAGTTGTGAATCCCAATTGAACTTGTAAAACAAAAACTCTAACTACCGTATCCGAATATGTTATCAACTAATTTTTGCAATAATTTAAGGCTGAGTAGTCAGCTGGACTTGTTTGTTTGTTTACGGCTCGTCGACAGAAATTATGTTGTCGTGTGAGTGTGAACAAGTTTTTTTTCTCAAACAATTATGTCGTCAATACTTATCCCATTGTGTAAAAATCATGAGTGTTTACTTCACTTGCTAGCTAAGCAAGTCTTCTTATAAAGCCTATCAAGGTTCCTTTACATTCATCTACTTTCATGGGGAACTTTTCTGTCACTTAGTACTTAGTTTAGTTAGACTATTTCCGTCATACAATACTTATTTCACCCTTTTTGTTTAATCGTGTTATAGCTTGCTCTTGGAGATTATGCTTGCATTTTGGCTTGTTAATTGAACTTTCTACGTTTCATCAGCAAATGGTTCAAGTTTATGCAGTGTACCCAGTACTATACCGTGGAAACAAATGCTGCATTGTCTGCGGCAGCTATCATTAACAGCAACAACTAACTGCTCATCTCCATCTTTGGAAGGTATGTTTATGAATTTAGATGCAGTAAAAGTACAAAAAGGGGCCAATTACGCTTTGGCCAGGTTCTATCTTTTCTCTTATAACTTATAAGTCACTTAAGGCAGGTTCTTGTTTGGACCCTTAACTGGAATTTTCGCTGCTTGAAATGTTTGAAGCATTGAAGTTTTTAAAATGAATAAAAGTCACATTCTGTGTAAAATTTTGTGTCGATGGAAACGGCGGAGGCAATTTGTAATTTAGCACTTGTCAAATGCGTCTGATTAACCAGAAGTTCTAGAAATTTAATTTGGATAAGAAATCTCTCTTGCATAGACTAGATCAGGCGGATTAGGGGTTGAGTGATGGATCAATAGAAATGTGGCTGCTCAATATATTTTTCCTTTTTGGGAAGGAATCAAATATGGGTAGAATATCCCCAATACATATTTTCAATAACCATTGTTATATGGTATTAGTGAAATTCTAATTTATCCAAAAAATAAAGGAAAGCTAGAATCCTGTCAGATGATTATTTTCTTCAAGTTAGCAGCTAGAAATAAGGTCTGATGCTTTTATCATGACAATCTCTCCCAGTTTGTACGACTACGGGAAAAATGAGGGCCACTACAGTCACTTAATTGTTTGCTTGATTTTTGCCTGAGCTGATGGGCTGTTGGCAACCCTTGGCAATGCAGGTTTCCTTGCCTTCTTAAGGGGTACCAAGGTGTTAGTGGTTGCGGAGTGGACCCATGAAGTAATCCCTTTTCTGACTAAACTTGACAGACCTGTGCTTCCCTAGATATTAGGTGGATGACATACAATTATTTTTTTTTTTTTTTTGTTGACAGTTTACTTTTTGCTTCATATTCTAAAGTTCGGATGGTTCAATTAGCACAAGATCAAAATAAAGTGGCTTGAGTGGAACTCTAGCAGTTTTCGAAGCCCCTTACGGAAATTCTGATAGCTTCAAATGTATGTGAATAAACACAGGTGGCTTAGCTGATGATATCCCTGCAAGTTCCCAACCTTCACCTACCGTTAACCTATCACGAGCATATACCCTTGCAGTGGAAACTTCTTCCTACCGCGAGATATGGTTGAAGGTCCACCATGAGGTCCCTTCTGACCTTAGTGTGGAGGAAGCACAAGTTGAGTTCCAGGAGGAGCCACTGCAATTAGAAGATGTCCTTGAACCAAATCATGAGTGCGTCCAAGAGGCACTTTTGCATATAAAACCAGAAGCCTTAAACCAACTTATCGCTAAGTACTTGAATGACAGTGAGCAAACCACTCGTCTCTGTATTAGTTTCTCTCAAAGTGTGAAGCAAGCTCGAATTTTGTATGCTCCCATTTGTAGGCTGCTCGATGTCCTTCCCCTGGACATGGAGTCCGCTGGACATTCCCTTTCTCAAGCTCAATGCAATTGGGCATTTGACATCTTCCTCCAATTTGACAGCCTCAACAATCCCTTTCCTATACATGATACCCATAGCTTCAATGATATGTGTCATTGCTACTTCCAGCTAAAGCGTGAGCTTGACCTTCTTTTACACAAGTCACGTTCAAAGGTCCAACTTCTCCGTCATGCTACCAAAGGCTCAGTCGTATGTTTAGTTGCAGCTACTATTGGAGTGGTCATAACAGCTGCTGTTATAGCTTCTCATGCTTTGGTCACCCTTGTAGCAGCCCCGATATGCGCTGCTTGCGTCCCTTCAAAAATGGCAAAAAAAGAACTGGTCCATCTGGTGCAACTGGATGTTGCAACTAAGGGGATCTTTTTCCTCCACAATCACTTGGAAACAGTAAATTGCTTGGTGGGCCGATTATATGATGAAGTGGAGTACTACAAGCGGCTTGTTCGCTTTGCGCTAGAGAGAGGAAAAGACCGATACCCCATCCAGGAGGTAGTGAAGCAACTTCACAGGAAACATAGCAATTTTTTGGAAGAGCTTCTGGGTCTTGAGGAGCATTTGTGCCTATGTTTTTCTGCAATAAATAAGGCCAGACGCCATCTTCTCGACTATCTCCTTCATCAAAATCAGGATCCTGACTAATTAGTTCATGTGATATTGTAAGAAATCCTTCCTCCATTAGTTTTTGGTACCTTTTCTTTTTTTTCTTCTCGATATCCAATTATTTCTGACATGTAAAACTTGCCTTTTTGATTATTTTTTTCTGTGATTGTAATGGACAACTAGAAAGAGTGCCCGGGCCGGTGGGTGGGGTGGGAGGGGGGGCTAAATGAAAACAAAGTAACTCCTTCCTTTATTTTTTTTACAACTAGTAAGGAACTACAACACAACTCCAAAAGAGTTAAAATTGTTTATGTGCAATGGTTGTTTTCCTCACCGAACACTTGCTACCCTCCTGCACTGTGCTGAACTTTCAGTGCCTTAATTCCTGCATTAATATTTGTTTTACTGTTGGTGATAATCATCATTCTTGGTCATATCAGTTATTATAACCTTCTCCGCCTTTTTGCTAAGTTCTAGTGAGTTTAAAGTATCAGTTTGTCAAATGCATTGCACTTGCTTTAATAGATGCATAGTCGAGGAGAAGTGTTGACATATGACTTGCTTACGTTAAAAAAGAAGAAGAAAAAGATCACACTGCGATTTGAAATGGGAGAAGTCAAGCTTTATCTAAATCACTTATGCAAAGTCAATGATCACAAAATAAGATTTAGCTAGGATGCTAAGTTTCAGCATGTCTTCAAAATCTGTTTTTGTGGGCCTAATTTCAGTTGACTGTGAATAATCATGTAACTGGATATTATCCATTTCAGGTTCAATGGTGGATACCGCTGTCAGCAACTTCAGGGGGTGAGACAAGGAAGTTTTCGTAGTCATCAGAAGACTGCTGATGAAGAAGCGGAGATTCATATAGCACAACCCCAGCTTATTTGGGACCAAGGGGTACTTGTCTTCCAGCAAGGTGCTTATTTTGGTATCTATTTTCAGGAGCTTTTGATATCCTGATCACTTCTAAAACTATATATATCCCTTATACTAGCTCTTTGGTGAATCAAAAACTTAAGGTGGGATCTTAGCTATAACCTGTTACGAGTATTAGTATCTATAGCGTTTTAGAATTAACGAACAGGTCTGATAGGAGATTCTTGAAGAGGAACACGATTCGTGCTTCCCTTATTTTCCAGTGTCGTTGAACGATCATTTACAAGAACATTTTTTCCTTTTTTGCCAGCACAAGATTTGTTCTCTTTTCCTTCTCTATTACATGATAAACAAAATCACTATAATGGTGAATGTTGCAGCATTGGCTTTGTACTCTTTATGTCTTTTTGTTAGCTGAAATGCATGAGTAACATTAATATTCAGGATTATGGTACTGATGTTTGAACCAAGTTCTTTTTTTATCTTTATAAATGGATGATTCTTCAATCTCCAAAATGTATAATTCCTGCTATGTCTGAACATGTGTATCAAAGTAAGACATGGCAACAGCAGCATGGAGAGCTGCACCTATTGGAAGAACATCTTCATCAAGAGTGAAAAAGGGGGAGTGCAAATCTTTAACACCAGTCGCGGCAGCAGCCGTTTTATTTTGTGCCCCAATGCTAAAAAATGCAGCTGACATCTTCTGGGAATAGAAGCTGAAGTCCTCTGCACCCATTGAAATTGAGTCATACCACACATTTTGCTCGCCGAGCAACACTTCTCCAACTTTCTTAGCATGCTCGTACATCGTGGGATCGTTTACAGTTGGTGGATACGGCCTCATTAAGTCCTCCCTGAAATCAACAGTGGCTGAACACTGATGTACACTTGCTTGTATCTCGATGATCTGAGTAGCAAGTAGTTTCAGTGTTAATCATCCTAACCAATGCTACGCATTGGTTTCTAAAATAAGCACTTTTGGCTTTGAAAAGCTTGGTCAGGCTATTAGTAGCGGTGAAACTCTAGTGCATACCTCTTTGATCCTTTGCTTAAGATAGGAACGACCCTCAAATGTCAAGAACCGGAATGTTCCACCAAACTTCACACTTTCAGGGATTACATTTCCAGCATCACCACCATCTACAAATGCAACAGAGACAACCTGCATGTAATCGCGCATAAGCAGAAACAAAATTTAGATCCTGCTTCATGGAATCCAGGATTCTGAACGAAGGAGTAAGAAAAGGGCAGCCAGGTATACAAAGCATCCTGCGTTAGCAGAGTCCAGGGGATGGAACAGCCTACCCTAATGCAAGTGTTAGTGTCTACTTCCACGGCTGGAGCTGTGACCTAAAGAAGTAAAATCATTGTTTAAACTTGTTTGGAATCAGAGCGAGACATACCCTAGACTCAAGAGGATCAGTTTCTCGAGAAACAAGTTGCTGGAGTGCAAGAACTGCCATAGAAACAGCAAGAATAGGATCCTTAGTTCTATGTGGTGTTGCTGCATGTCCACCTTTCCCTTGCATTATTGCTGTAAACCTTCCTGCACCAGCCATAATAGGACCAGGTCTTGAACCAATAATACCAGTAGGCATAAATGGCAAGACATGCATGCCAAATATTGCTTTAACCCCATCTAATGCTCCTTCTTCTATCATATAGGAGGCTCCAGCATAGCCTTCTTCTGCAGGCTGGAACACTAGCTTAACCGTGCCCTACAGTTCAGACCAAAACATCAACTTATTGAATATAGACGAAGACCAAACATGGTAAGTTCATATCTAAAGCCAAAACGTTAACGAGTTTTCCTACCTTCAACTTGTCCCTTCTATTTTGAAGCAATCTAGCTGCTCCAAGCAACATGGTGACATGAGCGTCATGGCCGCAGGCATGCATTTTGCCATTGATCTTGCTTTTGTACTCTGAATCTACCAATTCCTTAAAAAAAAATCACCAAAACAACAAAATTAGAAAAGGGGTTGGCAAAAATGGAAACTGGATAAAAGTGATTGTACCTGCATAGGGAGAGCATCCATTTCAGCTCTCAAACCAAACCATGGTTGATGACCCGACCCGACAGTTCCAACTAGACCCGTTTTCGCTACTGGCGATACAAACTCAATCCCCAGCAAATCCAGTTCATCTCGAATGAATTGACTCGTTTTGTATTCTTCAAAAGCCAATTCTGGGTACTCATGGATTCTCCTCCGAATCCTTTTCAACCAATCGAAAAACTCCGGCTGCTTCGCCGATTCAAGAAGCTCCTGAGTTAGCAACTTAGTTTCAGATCTCAAAAGGGTCTCTTTTACAGCCCATGAATTGTATGAAAAACTTGTTAATACCAATAGAATGTACATACAGAGGAAGAAGATCAAGTTTGTGCTAAATGGATCCATCAATGGCAAACCAAAATGTGATGTGTTGATTCTTGAAGCTCATTTTGTCGAAAACATCAATGACAACTAAATAATAATAAGAAATTACACTAAAATATTAACTACTTGCATTTCCTCGACTTATAATATGCCTATGTGTGTGTTCTTTAATTTGAATATTCAATTGTGCATTGAATGCATTTGTCTCTTAAATTGGCAAAAGTGAATGGACTTATCATAGGTCACAAGTTCAAGCCCTGCGTCAAGGGAACTAAGTTCAGAATTTAAGCGGAGAATCGAAGGATGTGGTTAGCCCAGAAGTGGCTCCATATGGACTTCTTGTTCATTAAAATCAAAATATTTTTCATTTACAAATGGGATGATTCTTCGATCTCCAAAAATGTATAATTCTACTGTATCTGAACATGTGTATCAAAATAAGAAATGGCAACAGCAGCATGGAGGGCCGCACCTATTGGAAGAACATCTTCATCAAGAGTGAAGTAAGGGGAGTGTAAACCTTTAACACCAGTCGCGGTGGCCGTTTTATTTTGTGCTCCGATGATAAAAAATGCAGCAGGCATCTTCTGGGAATAGAAGCTGAAGTCCTCTGCACCCATTGTAATTGAGGCATACTGCACGTTTTTCTCACCGAGTAAGACTTCTCCAACTTTCTTAGCATGCTCGTACATCGTGGGGTCGTTTACAGTTGGTGGATATGGTCTCAGTAAGTCCTCCGCAAAATCAACAGTGGCTGAACACTGATGTACACTTGCTTGTGTCTCGATGATCTACGAGTAGGAAGTATTTTCAGTGTTAATCATCTAAACCAATGCTTATTATGAGTAATGCTGAAGATTTCTGGAAAATTAAAGCACAAGCTTTTGCAAAATGGTATGTTTAACTTCTATGACCTGATATTACAGATGAGGTTATCAAACCTACAGTTGATGAAGAAGTTTAAGGAAGATTCAATGATCATCTAAGACTTTGAGGGGGGTAATTGATTTATCGCCTTTTCGTCGAACTTCCAAATCTGATTATTCTGAAAGTACTTGTGATTTTCGATTTGGAGAACACTTGTGCCTATATTGGAGTAGTAATTTGTACTTGGCCAAGGTTCTAAAAATGTTCCAAGGAAAAACTAGTTTTTTTAGCTTCTGAAAAACGACTTCTGCTATTACTCATGAAACATTTAATTTCTTCCTAAAATCTTGGTCAAACACCTCAACTTTCTAAAATAAGTACTTTTGGCTTCCCAAAAGCTTGGTTAGACAGGCTATTAGTAGCAGCGAAACTCTACTGCATACCTCTTTGATCCTTTGCTTAAGATAGGAATGACCCTCAAACGTCATGAACCGGAACGTTCCACCAAATTTCACACTTTCAGGGATCACATTTCCAGCCTCACCACCATCTACAAATGCAACAGAGACAACCTGCATGTAATTGCGCATAAGCAGAAACATAATTTAGATCCTGCTTCATGGAATCCAGCATTCTGAACGGAGAAGTAAAATCATAATGCTCAAAAACACATTTAAAGTATCCCAATTTTTTTAGTTTCCTACCTGAACTATCACGGTATCACCAACTATTAATCAAAACACCACCTCAACTATCAGTTGTTCCCTTTTCCTACTTGAAATATCACCATCGTTCAGGTAGGAAAAGAGAGCAATTGATAGTTGAGGGGTGCTTTGATAAATAGTTGATGACAGTTCAGGTTGAAACTCGAAAAACCGGGATACTTTAAGCATGTTTTTGACCCTTCACTCTTGTTTTAACTGTTTGGAATCAGAGCGAGACATACCCTAGACTCGAGAGGATCAGTTTCTCGAGAAACAAGTTGCTGGAGTGCAAGAACTGCCATAGAAACAGCAAGAATAGGATCCTTAGTTCTATGTGGTGTTGCTGCATGTCCACCTTTCCCTTGCATTATTGCTGTAAACCTTCCTGCACCAGCCATAATAGGACCAGGTCTTGAACCAATAATACCAGTGGGAATAAATGGCCAGACATGCATGCCAAATATTGCTTTAACCCCATCTAATGCTCCTTCTTCTATCATATAGGAGGCTCCAGCATAGCCTTCTTCTGCAGGCTGGAAGACTAGCTTAACCGTGCCCTACAGTTCAGAGCGCAAAATACCCATATCAACTTATTGAATTTAGACGAAGACCAAAAGTGGTAAGTTCATATCAAAAGACAAAACAATAGCGAGTTTTCCTACCTTCAACTTGTCCCTTCTATTTTGAAGCAATCTAGCTGCTCCAAGCAACATGGTGACATGAGCGTCATGGCCGCAGGCATGCATTTTGCCATTGATCTTGCTTTTGTACTCTGAATCTACCAATTCCTTCAAATTAATGCTTTGATTCATTTACTTCACTCATCAGAAAACTTCTTTCTACTAGCACAAACAATTCGACAAGGAACAGATTGAGAAACAAAATGATAGAAACGAGACTATGAGAATGCTTATGATGATCTCTCTTTTTCCTTCTCCAATTAAAGGTGAAGGTTGGGGCCACTAAGGAGGGACTTGAGAAATGCTGATGTTAAGAACACATCAGATGCATATTTTGAACTTCTTCTTTACTCACCATCTGCATTATCTCTACTTACAAATTTGACCTGTATGTAACTTAACATGGCATGGAAATCTCGTCATCTATCCGAGCCATAAGTATGAAAGAACAGATACATGGCACTTTGAAGGTGAAATCTTTATACAGAAACCAAGGCATCATAAAATTACCTTAAGTTTCCTAGAATTGGCATTTGACAGTTTTAACAAACAACCCAGAAGATTTACAACGCCAACATGTTATATTGGCTTCAAAAGAGGCGTTTTGTACACCAACACCACTAGCAGTGATGATGCATGGACTCACTACAGACGGATTAATTCCAGAAAAGCAAAATAAATGATGTCAAAGAAGTAACCAGCAATGCCCCAACCAAGCCATAAATTATAACGATACTTTCAATTAAAGGCAATTTCAAACTTGCATGCACATCGGCTAATTTCACGAGGTACCTGACTACCTGCTATCTCCCACCAGCACATGTTCAAAACCTAGTGGAGGCAAAAAAGGTGATTTCTTCCCATCTACCAAGCTTTGGTGGACAGAGTTAATGTTAGAATCTTAAAGTAGGATTTCTTAATAGCAATACCTTCCAAGTTCAAACTACAAAAGATTAAAGAATGACTACAAATCTCTCACCTGGTGCCAAAGGAAACTGATTTCCATCCTCTCTAATCACTACATTACACTTAATTAGAACATTACTTGTTCTATTAAGCACACTATACCACAACTTTATATCACAAATAGCAAGGGAAACCATATCTCAATTATGTGCAAACCACTTCTGTTCTCCAAGCATGTTTAGGCTCCAGAACACTTCAAACTTATCATTCCAAAAGTCATTACTTTTTCACTATACTACTCTAAATTAATGTTAAAGGAGTAATTGAAAAAAACACCCTTCTTGCACTAGTGAAAATGCTTGACAATTGGGGTCGTTTGGTGCACGGCATGGGATAAACAAGGATATCTCATAGGATTATTTTTTGACATAATACATAAATATGCCCTTAAACGCCCTCCAACATTGAATGTGCACAAGTAGACACCTAAACTTGTATAAATTTGAAGTAGACACACATACCACAACAGATGCCACGTAGGACAAAAATTGTCACGTAGAGTGTCAAGTAGGACGTGTGTGTCTACTTGTTCAACTCTATATAAATTTGAGTGTCGACTTATGCATAGCTAAAATTGGAGGGCATAGATACTAGATGAGATCAAGTTAAAGTGCACGTTTATGTATTATGCCTTTTATATGGGATAGTAAGTTAGTAATCCTACCATTTTAGTACCCTCATTAGTAAATACCTCAAACCAAACATGAGATAAAGTTAATCCCAATTCCCAAATTTTATCCCGAAATTATTATCATTATCCCACGTACTAAACGACGGTAAGCTAGCCAATCACAAAACACAATCAGTTGAAATTCACCAAAAGAACAAAATTTAGCAAAAAACGCAAACTTGGAAACTGATAAAAGTGATTACCTGCATAGGGAGAGCATCCATGTCAGCTCTCAAACCAAACCATGGTTGACGACCCGACCCGACAGTTCCAACCAGACCCGTTTTCGCTACTGGCGATACATACTCAATCCCAAGCAAATCCAGCTCATCTCGAACGAATTGACTCGTTTTGTATTCTTCAAAAGCCAATTCTGGGTACTCATGGATTCTCCTCCGAACCCTTTTTAACCAATCGAAAAACTCCGGCTGCTTCGCCGATTCAAGAAGTTCATGAGTTAGCAACTCAGTTTCAGATCTCAAAAGGGTCTCTTCTACAGCCCATAAATTGTATGGAAAACATGTTAATACCAGTAAGAATATGCAGAGGAAGAAGAACAAGTTTGTGCTTAACGAATCCATCAATGGAAAACCAAAATGTGAGGAGTCTACTATCCAGACTCCTTTTTAGTACTCGGTATTCGTGATCGAGTCTAACTATATGAATTTTGACTTTTTAATCATATCTTATCGAGTCTAAATATTTTTAAAAGAATTTGAAAAATTTAACTTTAAAAGTTAGTCGGATTGACTCTCAAAAACATAATATGATAATTAAAAAGGAACAAAGGGAGTATACTAAAGTATCACTTTTTCGAGAGTTTCATATTTGTTATCAATTGCTTGTGTTTCCTTAAGTTTGAATTCAGTTGTACATATTATATGATAATTCTGTGAGATATATTCAAACTGATTTGTATTACTATCATATGCATGATTTGTATTATGTCATGCTCGTCCTCAACTCATGCGTTTATTTATTTAATTTTATATAACTTAAGTGTTTACTTGTGAGCGTTCAATGTTGAAGGACATAAATTGATAACCAAAGCCAAATTAAAAGACACGTTTATGTATCATGCCGTTTCAAAAATAGGACATCTTTGGTAGGTTCACTTTTTTTCTAGAGTTTCAAATCTAATATCAATTATTTGATTTTCCTCAACTATCATAACATTGGATATGAAGAAAAAAACACTTAAATTTATATAAAATTGAATAAGTACACACATACCTACGTCATACATAGTGTAATAGTTGTGATACTTTCAATAATAGAAATATCTTTGATAGGTTCTAAATTCTAAAATACCCCTATAAATAATGTACTTTCTAAGTAACTCCATTTTTTTCAATTTGTCAACACTTTAATTACATTCAAATAAATCTATTGTTCAAAGTTGAGGGACAGTTTGATTTTTTAATATTTCCACTCATAGGTAAATGGACAAACTTTTTTTTTCCAAAGGATAAAACTTACACACTTTTGATCTAAAAAAGAAAATTACTCATTCAAGACTACCAATCTTCCTAATGCCTTGTTTGAGAGCAACATTTGTAGTACTATATCCACCATCAATCAATATATTCATCCCACTTATATACTTTGATTCATCACTAGCAAGGTACAATGCTGCTTGTGCAACATCCTCACCCTCCAAAATTGTCCCTTTCAAGTTTGAAATTTGTGACACAAATTCCTCAACTTTTTCTTTGTCGTGAATTCCAAAACCATTCATCAACATTGGAGTTGCCACACCAAATGGAGAAACACAATTAACCCTAATTCCATGTTCTCCCAATTCAACACCTAAATTTTTTGCTAGCCCCACTATCGCGTGTTTCGATGCCAAATACGTGTGTGCCACGTCACCATAGGTCACCGAGGCGATACTTGAAGTGAAAATAATGCTTCCTTTTTTGGGTGGAATCATCACACGAGTCGCGTGTTTCGCGCACATTAATGCCCCGAAGACGTTCACGTCGAATACGTTTTTGAAATTTTCGTAGTCTGATTTCAAGATGGTGGTATCTGGTTGTCCTGGAACTCCAGCGTTACTGAACATTATGTCAAGCTTGCCGTACTTAGAAATCGCCATGTCCACTACATTCTTGACATCTTTTTCTACTTTCACATCACAATGTACGTAAGAGACATCTCTATTTTCACCTATTTCTTTGATGATGGATTGGCCTTGATCGTCTTGGACATCCGCAATCAAAACTTTTGCACCATGTTTGGTGAAAAGTCTTGTCGTAGCTTCACCAATACCACTAGCACCACCTGTTATGATTGCTACTTTGCCCTCTAGCCTGACACAATCAAACAATTAAAGCAATAACAACAATAGGCAAATATAGGAGAATTATGTTGTTTTCGACTTGAACTATATATATACTCTTTATACTTTAAATTACGGGACATACTTTTATTTTGTCTTATTCAGTAACAATTTAAACTTTTCATTTTACTCCACCAATGTCTATACTAGTTTTAGATAACTTTAAAAAAAAAATTATCTTTCTTTTCTTTTTTAAATCAATCAAATATATCATCACATAAATTTGGACAGAAGGAGTGCTAACATACATAAAAGAAAAAGTAAGAAGTGTACATATAATAAAGGTTTAAATGAACTCCCTAATATCATCAAAGATATACAAATAAATTGAACAATTAGAATGGGACAATATGAGCTCAACATTAAGGAAAACATAACAATATAAAGGTATATACCTTTTAGCAATGGAGGAGATGGAGGCCATGGAATATAATTCACCTTCAAGTGTTTGAAAAATGAGGAAGATGAGATATATTTGCTATGTGCCCCCACACTTCAAAGTTATGGATCTTATCTTTTGTGCTGCAATATAAAATCACTTCCCCCATTTTGTTTTAAGTGTTCATTATTATATTTAAAAGACATAATACATAGACCTTTCGTTTACTTTGATATCAATTGACATCTATCTATGTTCTTTCACTTAAAATTTATATAAAATTAAACAAATAGACACACTTGTCCTACGTGACGACATCCTACGTGTATTATATCACATAGAACACGGGTGTCTATTTATTCAATTTTATACAAGTTTTAGTGTCTACGTGTTCACATTCAAAGCTGAAGGTCGCGTGAGAATTTAATATCACGGAATTTAGAAAATAATACTTAAAACCTATCAGTCATTAAAACTAAAACACTATATTATCTTACATACAAGATTACGTAGTCACGTACATTAATAATTTCATAATTTATTCTTTTGCTTCCAGGGAGTGTTACTATTAATAAATAAATAATCATTGTTGAAGGAATAAATACATTTAAATTTGGACTTAAAGTCCTTTTTATTAATGTCTGTTGAAACCAAGTTAAAAAAACATATTTATTTATTATGCCTATTAAAAATTTATGTTTATTTTTATTTATCTAGTTTAGATAATCAAAAGATAATTTATCATCTAGACTTACCCTTATTATTAACTATACTTGTTTTCTAAAGTTGTTATTCTATTTTCTTGCCTCTTAAAAGATGTGTTAGTTCAATACTAGAGAAATAAAAATCAGTGTAGAGAGTGTTAACATCCATTTGAAAGTTAGTATTAAATAAGTTAATTAAATCCTTTAAAATATTAGATCTTTGACAGCTATAGGTAGATCATAAATTTGCTTATTTTATACAATACAATGAGATCAGCGATAGCTGTCAATCTTGATTAGTTGATTGCCCGCAAATAATTGAGTAATTAATATAATCAATTAGATGTTTCAAATAATTGAGGTCCAACAACTAGTACATGACACAATGTTATAATAATCGTAATAGAAAAAAAAAATTGTCTAGATCTATCAATAATATCATTTATTTTTTAGATTTGATGTTGAAAAATTACTCCAAATCGATTTTGTCTTCTAAACGGGTCGAGTTGGAGTGCCACATTGCGATTCAATCTCAATACTTGACATTTTTCACTTTGCACATGATGGACTAGATCCAAATTAGTACAATGCTAATAATGCACGTAATTCATATAGATAAATAATTCATACGTACGTTATGCGAGCATCAAGTGAAATATCTATTAAGGTTTTACAAAAACTTCACATAGGAATTCAATCACATGCGGAGAAAAAATATCTATTAACTTGAGAAAGAAAAAAAGGTAGAATAATACCAAGGTAAAGAGAAAAATAAAATTACGAAATTATGAATAAACTAAAGGTGTAATGGGAAAGAAAAATAACATAATGATGTCACTGCATCAAATTGGTATTACATGATTCTTTTCATCATATCATTACATAATAGCAGTTTTATTAGCGATACGATAAAATTTTAATAACAAATCAAAATAAATATTATATTTAAGAACGGAACATGGTAATGCCTTGTCTAAGAGCAACATTTGTAGTACTAAATCCACCATCAATCACAATATTCATCCCACTTATATACTTTGATTCATCATCACTAGCAAGATACAATGTTGCTTGTGCAACATCCTCAACGTCCAATATTGTCTCTTTAAGATTTGCAATTTCACACACAAATATATTCCTCAATCTTTTCCTTTTCATCAATTCCAAGACCATTCTTTAACATTGGAGTTGGCACACAAAATGGAGAAACACAATTAACCCTAATTCCATGTTTCCCTAATTCAACACCTAAGTTCTTGGCTAGACCTACCACGGCATGTTTCGATGCCAAATACGTGTGCACCGCACCGGTACACGTAACGGACCCCATACTCGATGTGAATATAATGCTACCTTTTTTGGACGGAATCATCACACGAGTGCATGGTTGGCGCACATTAATGCCCCAAAGACGTTCACATCGAATACGTTTTTGAAAATTTCATAGTCGATTTTTGAGATTGTGGAACCGAGTTCTTCAGAAATTCCTGCATTGCTGAACATTATGTCAAGTTTACCGTACTTAGAGACCGTCATGTCCACTACATTTTCGACATCTTTTTCCACTTTAACATCACAATGCACGTAGGAGATGGCTTCATTTTCGCCTATTTCTTTAATGATGGATTGACCAAGATCGTCTTGAATATCTGCAATTACGACTTTTGCACCATGTTTGATGAAAAGTCTTGTTGTAGCTTCACCAATTCCGCTAGCACCTCCTGTTACGATAGCAATTTTACCCTCTAGCCTGATACAATCGAACATGTGATCGATTTTATACGATTGTGCTTTAATATGATCATTAGAGCGACATTAAAGGTCAACTCTCTTCAAATAAAAGTAAAAAAATAAAATACATTAGGTGAAGTCTTTCAATCTGTCTAAGTTTTGGTTGCGATAGAGTACACAAGATATGTGTACTCATGATCAATAGTAGGATTACTTAGTGGTAGTGGCAAATTCAAGATTCCAAATTTGGTTTGATTATTATAACTTTATCAATTTTTTTGTTGAAAACCTCAAAGATTTTTTCACTCTTATTATATTCAAATTGAGATGAAAGGATATCTGATAGTCTCATTTAAACAAAGAAAACTAGGTAATGGACTCTATCCAAGACTGAGACAACATAGGCGAAAGGGGCTTAGTGGTACAACTAGACGATCAATTAAAGATCAGGCAATTTTAATAAATTTGATATAATCGAAGTGTTCACAAACTAATAAGAACAATCATATTCGAGAAGATAATGGTCAAGATTTAGAAAAACATGACAAACAAATTAAAACGTACCTTTTAGCAATGGAGGCCATGGAATTCTTCTTTGAGTGCTTGAAAATGAGGAAGATTACTTGTTAGGGAGAATGGTACTAGTACTAGTCCAATGGCTCTTATTAATTAGTACTCCCTTGTTTTCTAATTAGGATACATCTTATAATAATTATTATTATTAATTAATCAATAATAATTACCTGTGCAACTATTTAATTAGTAAGTACTTCTAGTTGGAAGTTGACTTTTTAATTAGCAAATAAGTATGTAATTAATTTAGGTTATTAGGTATGTAGACACCTTTCCTAACATATTTCTTATACTTCACAATTAGGTCTGCGCTATTTAAATATAGGCCACGAATTTGAAAGGTGAATCAACGATTAGGGGTGATCGTTCAGATGAAATATGAAAATTTAGATTTGATTTTCCGATTCAAGAATTACAATTCAAATTTAATTCATAGAGATTGAATTGGATCAAATTTCTTAAATTTGATTTTTCGAATTAATCGACTTATATATTTTGAATTTTTAATTTTGAGCCCATAAGTCAAGTTGGTGCCACTTATTCTTCTTATTACAAAATGATTATCCAAAAATAAAGTATTCATATCAAGTTGCCTTTAATAATTCTCCATTCCCATGATCACAATAATTCAAATAAAGTATTCACACTAGCAATAATATTATTATCAAATAAATTCCTAGCAACATGATCCATGTCTAACGATAACATAGTAAAACCATGTCATATTATAAAGTACTATTACATCAAAAAAAGAAACTAAAAAATAGTCTATCTTTAAAATTAAACAAATCCAAGTATATAGTAAAACCATGTCCTAATAGACCATGATACACTAATAATTCAAGTTTTCTGAATTTCCTTATTAAAATTTCTAGCTACACCACCTCTTCAAGCTTTCTTATTCTTCTTAAACGCAACAACAACAACAATAACATAGTCTGGGGAGGGTATAGTGTACGCATACTTTATCACTACCTCGTGGAGATAGAGAGATTGTTTTCGAAAAACCTTCGACAACATTCTTATTCATCATATTTCTAATAACATTTATTGATATTGCTCCATCATCTTGAGAAAACTAGGGTTAACAACACTAAACCCTCCATCAATTACAAGATTTTGTCCACTTAAATATTTTGCTTCATCACTAGCAAGAAAAACAGCAGCATTTGCTACATCTTCTTTGCCATGATTAACCCCTTTTAAATTCCCTATAACACCCATCATTCCTTCATACATTTCTCCAATTTCATTATTAAGTTTAGTATTTGATAATATAGCAAAAGGTGAAATACAATTAACTCTTATACCATGTAACCCTAATTCAACAGCCAAATTTTTGCACATACCTACAATTCCATATTTTGATGCAACATAAGTGTGTGATCCAATTCCAGCCACTTGTGTACAACAACTTGTTGTAAACAAAATGCACCCTTTTTTACGTGGTACCATTGTTTTCGCTGCATATTTTGCGCCTAAAAAAGATCCGATTAAATTTACCGCGATTTTACGCTCTAGGTCATCGATTTCCGTGTCCATGATGGTTTTTATCTTCGTATCGTAAATGCCAGCGTTATTGTACATTATGTCGAGATGACCAAATTTTGAAATCGTAACGTCGATTAAATTTTTTACGTCGTCCTCTTTCGAGACATCGCAATGAACGTAATGGGCGTTTTCGCCTAGATTGGTTGCGATTTCTTCACCCTCGGGATCTTGAATATCCGCGATGACGACTTTTGCGCCGTTCTCGATGAAGACTCGGACCGTAGTCGCTCCGATACCACTTGCACCACCGGTGATAATAGCTACCTTTCCCTCCAACCTGAAAAACGACTTTCGAGATTTCACTTACATGCATTGATATTTCAATAAAATATTTCTTTTAGATTTAAACATAATCTCTATCTGCTCTGATATCATTATAATATATACATGTATAAGAACAATTTTTAGTTACTTAATTATGCCAAGCTTAGTAAATGATAGTAAAAAAAAATACTATACTATTTTAACCCCAAAAAATTAATGAAAGAAAGATATTTTTTTCACCTTCTGTTTGGAGAAAATACACATGAACTCTTGTCCATTTTGCTTTTTGATGCCTTTGTATCACCTTTTGTTTTTGTGATGGCATAATAACTTTTTGGTTCGAGTATTTATAAGGAAAATAATCACTTAATTATAGTTTATTAACTAAAAATGGGAAATAATTTAGTCAGCTTTTATTTATTAGCTGCCTAACTTTACTGTACACAATATGATGTAGCTATTTAGATACTATTATAGAGTAGAAGGAATAAGAGCTAATTCAATTAGTTAAAAGTTTATTTGTATTCGATGTTTACGTCAAGTTAATAAATATATAATATATGTATACAATTCTTTAGCATTTTTCTTTGATTAGTTAACATGTAGAAATGACAAGCAATCCCGATTGAAGCTTAATTCTAATTGATAGATTAATTAACAATAAACTTGATTAAAATGAAGTGCTTTCTCTCGAGGAAAAGATATCGGGATAAACTACGTTGTCACTGAATTTCACTATTTTTGTGAAGGGAGGTAGATTTGTTCAACTTCAGATGCGAGTAAGTATTTACCAATCAATCGGCTATCTAGTTAATTATGTTCTTGAACTATAGCTCCATGTGATCAATTGAAATCTTTTTTTAATTAATAGCACTTTTGATTCCTCAGTTTTTGATAATTTCATTTATGTTTAAGTCCTTATAATATTTAATTTAATATATTTAACTTTTCACTACTTGAAACATGCACTATTGATCCATTTGTTTGTGAATCTTACCAATTTACCAAGAGCAATTATATTATTCACCATTAGTTATATATGTGTTATATTAAACTTGTACTATTATTTAAACTTTGAAAAAGATATAATATATTTTCACATGAAAAGACTAATAACACATATTTTATGAGTTAAAATGATTGAGTCAATAAATGAGCAGGTTAATAACTCGCCAAAATATTAAAAAAAACGGATATAATCTAATTCGCTCCATTCTTTCCAAATTTTAATTTTTTTTTTTATATATATAGTTTTTAACTACCTATAAAAATATTCTAAGTTGGATCATTTTGTGAAAGCCTTTTGAAAAGCTTTCACAGTTTTCTAGTGGATCAATTCAGATTACATATCAATTTGTTTTTTAAGATAAATTGAGTGAGTCAAAATAGATTAAATTGGTAAATGAAAGAATTATTAATTAAATTGAACGCATATTATTTTCATGAATTAATTTTATCGCCCCTAATTCTAAGCTATTTATAGAAACTAGAATAGTTGTTAGGCTAATCTAATTACAGCATGCTCCTATTTTCTCTAATTTTTTCATTCACGTTGACATGTTGTACCAACTACCACACATTATTGAATTTTGGGGATGGGTTAAAGTGTAAAGATTTTAAATGATCTATATTTAAGATAGTAGTAAAATATTATAAAATATTTAGCTATTTTAGAATTAAATTCAGAGTTATGAAATTGAAGGTTTGAAGTTAAAATTGAACATTGATAATAGTGTCAAGATATAGTCTGAATATAACGCTTTTAAATTTCTTTTTAGAGATTATCAAGAAAAACGATTGTTATTCATGCAAGATGAATCTTACTTCAAGCTTCACTATTATAGAGCATAAAAAAAGAGAAAAAATTAGCTAAACTAATGGGGTAATGGGCTATCAAGAATTAAAAGTGAAAATAGATTGTCTACTTGATGTCAGACTTATTAAGAATCGAGGATGACGTATAACATCATTCTTCTAAGACTATTATTGAAGATTACTGATATTTATTAAATGCCTACAAGTTTGTAATCACAAATATTTATTTATAAAAGAAATATGGAGATATGTGATTTGTCAATTTGGTGTGTAGATCTGTCGATATCGGTTTTGACTATGATTTGGTCATTTGGTAAGATTTTATAAAAATTGGAGAGTTTTTGGTAGTTTTCATATTTTTTAGATTTTTTCATGTTTATCACAAAATAAAATACAACTTAAGAAATTCAAATTTCATGTTAAACAACACTTCAACTTCAAATCAATCTTTTTTCGTATTTACTAATTTCAAACCATGTCTATACAGGTCCTGAGTTCTAAATTTACTTTTGAAAATTCTTATAAATCATTGTTTTTAGCATTATTTGAAGCAAACAAAAAAGGAAGGAAGAGAGAAAAAAATTACTCCGCTATTTACATATTTTTAAAGAATCTTTCGAAAATAACCTTTCTGTCATCCCAAAATTGTTCCATTTTTTTCAATGACATACATCTTTTGTACAAAATTAAAAGAATGTCAATAGAATTAGAACACAACTCTCCAAATTTAACTAGGGCAAATTTTAGGAATCCCATAGTTTTAATATGAAACTACAATCTATCCCTCTTTAGTTTGTAATAACATTAATCCCTTAAAAAGTAACACAAATCGGATATATAATATGTAGCTCAGATACATTAAAGAGTATCTCGGATACATTATAACATAAACCGGATACATAATATGTAGCTCGGATACATTATAAAATAAACCAGATACATAATATGTAGCTCGGATACATTAAATACTGGCTCGAATATATTAAAGAAATAAGGGATTTTAGAGATTTTTAGAAATAGAAGGGGATATTGGAAATAAGAGAAAAACATAAGACGTGTATTTCAGTAATTTTTCCATTTAACTAAGTAGTCAATCAAAGCCACAATACTTGATTAATTTTCAAGTAGTTTTTTTTTGTTTCCCACTCGGTGTCCGGAGCCCATATTGGAGATCCGATTAAATTCGGATCGCGCTCTGCAGGGACCCATTCGAGGGTGGCGCTCCCAACAGGATTTTTTTCATACCCAGGACTCGAACCCGAGACTTTTAATTAAGGGTGAAACACTCCCACCAGTGTATCACAACCCATGGTAAATTTTTTTTTCAAGTAGTTGCATATTTTGACCTTGCAGATGATGTGCTACATTTTTTTCAATATACTAAAATAATATAAATCATCATTAAATATTATTTTTTAGAAAAATGTGCCACTGGAAAAAGAGAAACAATTAGCAGCCAAGAAAGACCAATTAGACTTTCAAGTAGTCAAATAACAACTCCTACACTCTCTAATCAAAGTGATTTTCAAATATGTTTTGTATTTTTTTAATATTTAGTATTTGAATCATTTTTTTCATTCTATTAAATAGTATACTCTCACACTATATATATGAAGCTAAACAAAATTGGGACTAAGACATTAAAACTCTAACACACCTAAGAGATTCAAAAAATACTTTGTGAAATCATTATTTCCTTGAATTTTGTCTTTAAAAAATGGCCACCAATAGCGATTCAGTCTCTACATCAGCCAAAAGGTATGTATTTAGTGATCACTTTCATCGAATACGACTTTTTCGCAGAATTCTATATGTATCTATGAAATCGAGTTTAGAATTCTGCACTCTCACTTTAAAAATATTACTCTTACTTATAATTCAGTAACTTTAGTTACAATTCTATATTTGTCTTAAGAAATCTATTGAATAGTCATAAATTATTTATTTAAAATTCAGTGATTCAAATGAACTAGAATTTCGAACCATAAATTCAAATCCTAATTTCGGCTCTGATTGCTAATACTGATGACAAAATACTTATTTTTTTTGCTTTGAAGTTTGGTTAAAACACCTCGACTCTTTAAAATAAGTATTTTTAGTTTTTCAAATCTTAGCCAAATAGGCTATAAATGTAATTTTGCTATTTTTTTGTAATTTTTCAGGCTAGATGGTAAAGTAGCAGTTATTACTGGAGGTGCAAGTGGAATTGGTGCTACTACTGCAAAATTGTTTGTCAAAAATGGTGCTAAAGTTGTAATTCTTGATGTTCAAGATGATCTTGGCCGTTCATTTTGCGACAAAATCGGGCTAGAACACATCTCGTACGTCCATTGCGATGTCACTATTGAAAAACAAGTCGAGGAGGCCATAGATTTTGTAGTGTCAAAGCATGGAAAGATTGACATAATGTACAACAATGCAGGTACGTATGTCAAATGAGCGATTTAAACTAAATTTGAACGAATTTAAATGGATCGAATCGATAAATGAATGTCGTTATTCAGCTTTGCCCAAAAGTTAGTTGGGCCAAGATGGGCTAAATAATGGATAGTCCAACCTGCCTAATTTTTACTAAGCTTTAGTTTATTTATTTGTTTTTCTAATAATTTATTTAATTATCAAATAAAATTAATAATTTTAATTATTATAGCTACATATTGAAAAAAGTATGTAAATATTTTTGACAAAAAAATAGCTATTGTCATGGATTTTTTTCAATTTATCTGTCAAGATGGATTGAGTTAATAAATGAGCTGATTAAGAATGTGATATTTTTATGAGTTAATTTTGTCATTTCTAAATACAGGCATCACAGGAAGTATATCTTCAGGAATTACTACAACGGACTATGAAAACCTGAAAAAAGTATTTGACATCAATGTGTTTGGCGCCTTTCTAGGCGCCAAACACGCGGCTCGAGTGATGATCCCGGCTAAAAAAGGTGTCATTCTCTTCACGGCGAGTGTGACAGCTGTTGTAGCCGGGATGTCCCCACACACATATGCGTCGTCTAAGCACGCGGTAATCGGGCTATCGAACAATTTGTGCGTGGAATTAGGACAATATGGTATAAGAGTAAATTGCATTACACCACATGTTGTGGCTACACCAATGTTAACTAATTTTGTTGGTGGAATTGATCAAAGTAAAGTAGATGAAGCACTTATGAAATCAGCTAATTTGAAAGAAGCAAAATTAGAAGCAGAAGATGTTGCTGCTGCTGCTGTTTATTTGGCAAGTGATGAGTCTAAGTATGTAAGTGGATTGAACTTAATGATTGATGGAGGTTATAGAAAAACTAATCCACTTTTTCCAATGTGTATTAGAGAGATTCTTAGTGGCTTTTAACCAAGATTTTTGGGATTTGTTGTCTTGTTATCTAATAATGTGTTGAGGACTTTGATTCGGTTTCCCACTCGGTGTTTGGAGTCTGAATTGTCTTTGAAAGTTGTCTTGTTATCCAATAACAAATTTTGTGACACATGACATGTACTTTTTATTCTTCTTTTGGTTAATATATACTCGTTTCGTTTCAATTTATTTAATCTGTTTTTAAAAAAAATGTCTTTTTACTTTTTCTTGACGTAAAGGTGTTATCATTATAAAGGTGCATATAGGTAAACAACGCGCTATCATAGGCTTTCTTGACTTATGTTGTTTGAACTCTTTAAAAATATCGACTGGTGTGCGTCAGATCCTTCAAAAGTAGTTTATCTTTTAAGAATCTGACACAGGTGCGACATGAGCAACTTGATAGTCTGACAATGTAGGAAAGTGATTGATGTTCTCTGATTTATGGAAACAGAAGTAACATATGTTAATTGACCACCATATAATGTTCATGAGTGAGACATATCAAGTAACTTGCACAGCTATTGCAGTGTCGGAGTCAGAATTTTTACTAAAGGGGGTTCAAAATATAAAGAAGCGCACACAGAAGAAACAAAGAGGATTCAAGTTGAGCTGTATATATATATATCTAGTACAGAGGGAAGATCACGAATTAACGGTTTATTTTTACAACTCATAAAGAAGTAAACTATGCACTCTACCAAACGAGGCATATATAAGTTGAAATGCAACAGAGATTGTAGTACATAAAAATGCAGCTCTTTAATGTATCGATCATCTCGAATTACAATTTCTTGACACTTGACAAGATTATATGGAGGGGGAAAAGCCTTGACTTAAGTTTTATTATAAGAAAGAATGTAAATGGAAAGAATACATGATTTAAGAAAGGCGAAAAATCAAGGTGTTGTTGTTGTTATTTTAGATAGGACCCCCTCGAATGTAATGTATGACGATCTACGCCTTGTATGGAGAAGGCATTGGCATACTCTTAACAATACCGCAAAGAGGGTGGTTGTCAGGGAGGTTGTACTCATCTCTCAACGAGCGAGCTGGTGAGAGAACACTAAAGTATAGTTGTTGTCCCAAGTAGAACCTCTCCCACATTTCTGATCTCAAGCTCCATAGTCCTGCATTGTCAAGTGTGGTCATGACCGCGGCCCATGAGTTAGGATAGACTTGGATGCTGTGTCTGTTTATGGCATCGACTAAGTTGTAGTTCTTTCTTTTCTCAGGAGTCCACTTCCCTGGCTCAACCCCAACTGCGAAGAAGGAATAACCATCCAAGTGATAGGTTTGGATGGTCTTCTCATGGTTCTCAAAGATGATCTCAACAAAGTTACGGAATGTTGCATTCTTGATATTTGAGGCAACGGTTACCTTGTCTGATGACGACATTGATGGTTCATCACCCATGAGATCATACTTGAACACCTTATCAGTAGCTCCAAAGTATTCAGCTAGCTTGAATGGGGTCTCTGAATCAGTGTGGGAGATACCATTCAACGCGTATCTAAGCTTTCCATCAACTTCACTCCTTGAGTTTACAATCTTGAAAGTGCGAGTGATGTTGATCTGTCCATAGTGGTATGATCCTTGAGGGTTGGGACGGGCAGCACTAGCAGTAAGGTTCCATCTGAAAGACCGGAATTGGTTCATGGACCAGGCAATGCCTTGAGTGTTTTCTGGTGGTGGTGCTGGGAGATCAGAAGATGCTGGTCCCTTTCCACTTGCGTATCGAATGATAGACACAGAGGACAATTCAGCTTGCTTCAAGAATCTGCTCGAAACAATCATGTAATAGTCCTTTGGCTCTTGATCAGCAGTCACCAACACTGATAGGCATTGACCAACATGAAGGTCAAGTGACTCGTATACGTTCTGCACTGTGTGGGATCCTTCTATTTCCACCAACTTCATCGGGTGTCCTTGGATCCTAACATTCACTGATGTCCTCATACCGACATTACAAAATCTATACCTATACGTCTTACCAGCCTCCATCTTGTATAGTGGCTCCGCAACTTTGTCACCAACCTTTACAGATTTTCCATTTATGTGAATCCCATCTGGCCTTCCTATTGTCCGTCCCCCATCCAATATCTTCTTCAATGACTTGTACCCCTTGTTATACCAATCACCCACAAACACACTATAGTCATCCGCGGGGTTGTCAAATGGAACTGGGATAAGTGCACGACTATGAACATTTATAGCACCAAAACCACCAGCAGCGCGATGCAAGTCTGTTGTTGGGAAGTAGAAGAAGCTACCGATTTGATCCTTCACCTGGAATCTGTATGTAAAGTTTGTACCAGGCATAATTGGACACATAGTACCCGGGGTACCATCTTGCCACGAATTCTTCCTTTGTTGAACACCGTTCCATGTTAACAGCAACGGTTCATCTAAATGATTGAATACATTTACAACGATATTGTTATTCGACGTACAATTGATCCTAGGCCCTGGAAGTTGTCCATTTATAAGGATCCCTTGTAGTGGGACCCCTAATGGAGCGATAGTTCCATATGTGACATTCCACTCGAAACGAAGGTAAGGATCCTCAGCTTTAACCAACACAAATGTAAGGCAAACTAGCAAAGACACAACTGTTATACTAGTTCTCTCCATATTTTTTTCCCCAATTACAACCTTTTTTTTTAATATATGGATATTTTTTTGGGGGGAAATTTTATTTAATTCTGACAAAGAAGAAGAGGGAAATATCTTCTTCTTGCTTCCTTTTTTTAGTTGCTAGAGCTTGCATTTGATACATTCTCCTTGATGGAATTTATACTAAATGTTTTTTAACTACCTACATTATATGTGTGGCTCTCCTTATATTTTTAACTATATTTTAGCATTTCCTCTAGTTTTTGTTTACTTCTTCTTTACTTAATTAATTAATTATTCTAATTATGTTGACTTATTCTTTTCTATTAGTATTCCTCTAAAATTTAGCACTTAATTAATTAATTATTCTAATTATGTTGACTTATTCTTTTCTATTAGTATTCCTCTAAAATTTAGCAAAATGAGTGGTACAATTTGGTAGAATTTGACTCATTTTCTCATTGAACCAAAGATACGAATATTATACAAAAAAAAATTAATAATAATACTTTATATATATATATATATTTGTATTTAAATTAAAGTATTATATTTGTCATGAAAGTATCATCATGTCAACAAGATTTTCTAACTTCAAAATATATTTTTTTAAATGTTATGATTTCTTTTTTATTGTTTTTTTTAAAAAAAAAAGAACTCATAGAAAATAGGAAAATATGTGAATCATTTAAAATTTATCATTTTTAAAATAAATTTTATATTAAATAATATGGAATAAACGTGCAACACGCGAAAAGCTTTAAAGTGAAAAGTTGAATTACTATTTTCCCCTACACTAAATTAAAATCTAATTAACTATCTAAATAAACGGTAAAATTAAGTAGAAGTCCTATTTATTTAAGTAAATGCAGAATTGATACGAAAATTCAGATATTGCACTTTAATTCTTTAGTTATGGCATTATAAATTCTCTTTGTTATTACTAATTATTGCAAATGTTATTCATACCCTTTTACATTCTTTAGTTATAGCATTATGAATTTCGTTAGTTATTACACTAATTGTTTCCATCTTTCATCTTTCCTTATATCAACTTTTTTGCAGAATTACTTTTCACATTTTTATATCACCCCTATATACCTGATAACACAACGTTGTTATTGACCCTTGAACAAAACATATCTGATTGATTAAACTGAAAATGGCTTACAAGAATATAAACAATATATTTGTTGGTGTAAGGTAAACATACGATGATTATATATATGATTTCACATATTGCATCTACTTTTTATGTTTAAATTTTTAGTTTATCAATGAAAAAAGAAATGGAAAGTCAAATAGAAATCAAAAATAATTTAGTTTAAATACTTTAAGTTTTAAAATATTTATACTATTAAGCATGAAATACACGTGCAACGCACGTGTGTTGCACGTGTTCGAGAACTAGTGTAATTGTAAAATGTTGAAAATTAAAAATGACAGGGTCAATATTATTCAGATTTTAAGTTTATCCCCCCCCCCCCTCCCCACTCACAAGTGTTCAAGAGAGTGAGCACGCTCTTTGCGCCACCTCAACATGTTCTTTGTGTCACGTCAATATCTGCGAGTGTATTTATTTATAACATTTTTCAGACAAAACCTAAGATTGCGGCTAGTATATATATATATATATAATATTTGGGCACGCACGTTGCACGTGTAGCCCTTACAGGTGCATAAGTATTTTTTCAAAAATCACACGAATAAGATAAACATATTTAAAACCCACATAAAAAATCAATGGCATCCAAAATCTGAAGTGTCAACTTTTAAGATTCTTAATTAATCCTAAATTAATTTTATTTTGGATTTATAAGTTAAAATTTGATATGATTTTGTTAAATTTTAGTAGTTTTTATATAGATATTATGGTTTGAGCCAAAAAGAATTAAGCTAATTAAATTCATAGATCTTACACACTTAATCCGTTCATATCATCAATTAACTCTTGTCCTAGCACCAAAATTTATATTACATTTCTAAATAAACTTCATTTGTTGTGTTTTCTTTACTCAGCGTAATTATAATATTTTTTAGTTAAAAATGAAAATCAACATTTCATTTATATTTTATGAAACTGTTTTGATAAAATTGTACTTGAGAAACAAAAAGACATGCTAACAATTCTTACAATATGTGAGTGATGAGTAATATAAACTTTGAAGGAGAAAGGGAGGTATAATTTATGGATCAAATAACTAAAATAATCAACTAAAATTAAAGCTAAGAAAGTTAATATAATTTCATGAGAAAAATAACCAAAATACCCTGCCAAAACTTATGACAGTTGTAATAAAATATGAGATTTTATTCATTCCTTTCTTTCTTAACATGGGTTTTTATCCTCCCTTCTTTCTTTTGAATGAAAAGACATGAATCATAATGGAGAAGGTAAAGAGATAGATATAATATGATAGGATTACTATTTAATATTTTATTGATTAAATATTTATAATATTTTTATTTAATATAGGGATAAAACGGTAATTTAATATTACACTTTGATGCTTATCACTTTTAATAATGTTAGTTCTTAATCTGCTATGGACGTGTGTTCTAAGAAAATAGCACACTGATAGAAATGAATAACAAAAAATTCAAAGTGAAATAATACAGATTGAAATTGATGAACAATCCGAGTACTCAAACGACTTATTTGTTGAGCGACAAATAATTTTATATGTTGACTTATTCTTTTCTATTAGTATTCCTCTAAAATTTAGCAAAATGAGTGGTACAATTGGTTAGAATTTGACTCATTTTCTCATTGAACCAAAGATACGAATATTATGCATATATATAAAATGTGAACTATGCTCTCCGTTTATTTTTATTTGTCATTTTTAATATACCTGTCTCTGAAACGTGTTTTACACGTTGTATCCTTGTTAATTATTAAAATATGTGCACAATAATTCTCTTTCAATTTTTTTGTTAGTTGAAACTCCATAAAATGATTTTGTATTTTTAATTTACATGATCAAAATTTGTTAAGTTGTATAAATATAAATGTATTATAAAATATAATATAATCATTTGTGAGATATTGACGGCAAGATATTGTTGTACTTCATGAAAAGTATGACACTCTATTATTTAACAAAAATGATAACGCAAAAAAGAAAATTGAAACATATAAAAGAAATGATAATTTGTATTTGTATATATACATATTTATATCATAATTTAAAAAATAAATAAATTAAATACCGCAAAAAAGTTAGAAACATATAAAAGAAATGGTAACCTTAGATCTGTATATATACATACTTATTTACAAATCTAAAAAATAAATGAATTGCCTAAATGAAAATTTGAAATTATCATATAAAAAGTCAATGAAACAAAAGTGTTTCCAATTGATAAATAAAAAGGAAACAAAAGTATTACCCACTTTATATAATTATAACTTTCATTATCCATATAATTAGACATCAAATCAATAAATCAAAGTTGTATGAAACAAAAAAGGAAAAAAAAAAGTATTACTCCACCTTATCTAAGTTCAACTTCTGCTGCCCATAAATTAGACACATAGTTAATATAGGATTGAAATATATAGAGAGAAAATATGAGAGGTGAAAAGGCTTATAACTGATTTGAAATATAATAGTTGATGTAAAATATGTCTTTTTAGATTCTTCAATGTAGCATTGCAGACTCAGAATTGAAAAATGCCAAGAGAAGTGAAAATATTGTAACTGATATGTCTTTATGCTATTAATGAGGATTATTATCTTTTGGATTTATAAACATAGTTAACAGATCAATAGGAGCAGATTTTGATGAGAAATGAAATTACTGATTTTTTTGTCTTTACATATTGATATAAATGTGGAACTCATTAAGATGTTAAACATTATTAAGGCTTTTGAATTTTTTTGAAAATAGTTTATGACATGGTATTTGTTCTACATTTAAAATTGCCATAGTGCAACTAATGAGTTTCTTGGCCTAAAGCATAAAATGGATTCACATTTGATATTAAGGCATTTCATGACTACAACTAACTCTTACAATTCTCCAGCAACAGTTTCACAGCTGTGGTTTAATATTTCTTAAACAGAGTGTTTATGACCTTTTAAATTTATATAAATTAAATAAGAAAAACAGAAGAGGAAAATATTTTTAAAAATATGAGAAGATTAATATGCTATTATTTAATTTTTAATTTAGTATAAGAGCAAAATCGTAATTCAATTTTGAAGTTAGGATCTTCCCACTTTTAATAATAATAATAACAATATATATATCATCAATTTAATATTAATACTACCTTAAAAGCATGAACTCACTAACTTGAATGTTAAATTGCTATAATACCCTACTTAAAACACCCATCTATATATATATTTGAATAGCATATGTTCTCTTGAAAGGTTGTGACTTTTCCGATGAGTTGTGATTTTTCCAAAAGGTTGTGACTTTACCGATAAGTTGTGACTTTTACAAAGGATTGTGACTTTACAGATGAGTTCTGACTTTTTCAAAGAGTTGTGACTTTTCTAAAGGATTGTTACATTTTCAAAGGATCATGACTTTTCAGATAAGGCACAATTAAAACTTGTTGATATTACTTTTTGTTGGCTATAAATAGGGGGAGTTCCTCTCATTTTTCAATCACTAAAACTTTCTAATTTTCTACTCTTCTTCTAAAACAAGGTCAGGGAATTTGAGGTACCACTATTCTGATGAAGTAAATCATTATATCCTAAGAGGATATATTTCCAGAACGTCAAGTACTTGAGGAAATATATTTTTGGTGATATAATAATTATTTTTCTTTTTTTGCTTAATATATTTACAGTAGTATGTAATGTTCAAATATATGAAGCTAACGTGAAGTAGTTTAAATTCATTTGATTTTGTTGACAATTTCTCCCGTGAAGCAGATATATGCTTCTGAATATTGTTTTCAAAAATTATTGAACTTCTCATGAGTCAGAGAATCGCACGAGTTGTTTTGTTGATGCTCAAGACATAAGAATGATTTAATATTGTCAGGAAGTTTGCTTCAAAATAGTTACTACTATATGAACATTTCCCTTTCGTTTTGCTTATTTACATTTTTTTTAATATTTATGTATTTTAGTTGAAGAAAAAATTCATATGATTTATA